CAAAAAAAAAAAAAAAAATCCCAGAATATGCCTATTTAACCATTTGGCAAAAGATTTTTTAAAGGTGGACTGGAAAAGTATTATAAAGTAAACAAAATAAGAGGACATAGAAAGCAATTTTTCTATTAAGAAAAAAACAAAAAGGTTCTTCCCAGAAACAATTCCTGACTTTAAAAAAATGGAGAAAAGATAGAAAACAGACAGCTGTCTGTGTGTTTTCCAAGTCAGTTTCATTCTACATGATCATACTGTTTTAAATCATTTGACTTTTTAAAATAATTTTTATTGAAGTTTTTCGACAGAATTAAAAACAGTACAAATTTTGAATTAAAGAATAAGAAAAATAAGAAAGCGAGAAAGAAATATAGAAAGAAAAAGGAAAAGAAAGATTCTAAAGAAGCAGCTTCCAATCTTCTTGACAGCAGTTATAGACACAGGCAGTCCTTGATTTACGACCACAATTGGGATCGAAATTTCCATCACTAAGCGATGCAGTTGTAAAGCACAATGTCACGTGACTGCATCACTTAGCGATCACAATCCCAGGCAGTCTTGGTTGCCATTGTAATCCTAAGACGCGTGGGTCATTATACAGGAAGAGGCAGGAGTCCCAGGTAAGGAGCACAGGGGTGCCGCAGGGGGGAGAGGCCTGGGAGGGCTGGTGCAGGCCACATACAAATTGGGAGATGGGGTGCTGTGGTGCAGCACAAGCTCAGGAAGGTCAGGGAAAGAATGCACTGTGACTCAGGGACTTCTTGGCATGCCTTGTTGCAGCCCCAGAGCCACGGTGCACCAGGAAGCCCCTTTGCACCATGCTGCTGGGCTGGGCTGGGGCTGGGCTTTGTGTGGTGCAAAGGGGCTTCCTGGTGCACAACTCTGGGACTGCAAAAAGCAAAAAGCTCCAGAGCCATGGCACACCAGGAAGCCCCTCTGCACTGTGCTAAGTCCAGCCCCAGCCCAGCCATGTGGCACACCACCACACCCTGGGAAGCCCCAGCTGCCTCCGCCCAGTCCCAGCTGTCCTTGCCACCCTGCACTCTGAAGCCCCTGCACTCCGCAGCTGCTGCCCTAGCTGACCTTCACTATCTTCTTGCTTCTGTTGCTGATGAGACGTGCCCACCCTGGCCCTTTGCAAGGCAGTTGCTGGCCGCATAAGGCCATCTTCCCTAGGTCTCGCAAGGAAACTGCCATGTGCGAACTTGGGAACAAAGTCTCATGCGGCCAGCAGCTGCCTTGCAAAGGGCCAGGCTGGGCATGCTTGGTTAGCAGCAGGAGCAAGAAGACAGTGAAGGTCAGCTAGGGTGGCAGGGGCTGTGGAGTGCAGGGGGCCAAAAGGGCATGGGGGGAGGTAGGTGGGTGGGTGGGAGTTGAAACACCCCTACAGTCATAAATGCAGGCGGGCTGCAAGCACCCAAATTTTGATCATGTGACCGCAGGGGTGCTGCAACAGCCGTAACTTCAGGACCGGTCAAAAGTCCCTTCATTTAGCACCGTCATAATTTTGAATGGTCGCTGAATGAATGGTCATAAGTTGAGGACTACCTGTACATTTATATTTTACCCTCTTTCACTAAGGTTACATCATTCTAAGGTTACATCGTATCATGAACATCTGAGTTTCTTCAGAACTGTGTGAGGTGGTATCACCTGAGTCTTCAGAGAGCCAAACATACTTGACCCTACCACCCTGATATTACTTCAGCTATCTGTCATCTACATTTGGAATAAAAACAGATCATGCCCAGGCTAGCTCTTTTCTAATTACCTGCAGCCGCACGGCATGCTCATGCTTCCGCTTCATGTCATTGATGTACCAAGCCACACAGGTCATGGTGGCAATTGCCTCTTCCACCACTTCATAGCCGTCTCCTTCTCTGTCAAAGTGCTTTGCTATCTCCTAGGAGGAAACCACACCGGCCTCATGTAAAGCATGTTCCAGAATTCCAACCCAGAGGTAATGTAGCTGTGAATCACCATTCTCTATATTATAGAAATTAATTCTACATCCCCCATGTGTGTACCATGAGAAGCAAAGACTTCTTTAAGGGAGAAATGGCCTTTCCTGAAACATAGTACTGTACAAGTTGCTGTTGCTGTGTTAGGAAAAATAGGTAGATTGCATTTCACAATCTTTAAAAAAAAGTCAAAACAGAATCCAAAGCTACAGAGTCCGATAACCTAAGTAACCTGTTGTGAAAATCTGTATTACCTGGAGGAGTAGGTGATATTTGAGAATGCGCTGGACTGGCTTGAGAAGATAGGAGCCAAGGGGCAAGGAGTGCCTGATTTGCTCCTGCCTCTCACGAAAGAATTTGGCCAATTGTTTGTTCCTCATACATTCAGTCAGAGCTGCCACGGAGCTGGAAAATTAAAGCCGGGACACAATGAGTGGCATCAAAGGAGACAATTGCCTACATTCTCTTAAGGATGTAGTGACAGATCTGCTCAAAGTCCCTAGCAAAGGGCTGCAATAAAGGGGCTAAAATAATGAACCAGAAGACAGCCAGTGGCAGTCAAACTGTGCCCTCTTGACACCCCCTTCATGCCTCCTTACCTTGAACGTGTATTTTCCTGGGACCACGCAACTGCCACGTGAACCCAGAAAAAGGCACAGCTTCTTGGATCAACAACTGCACATCCCTATGAACTTACAAAATCAACCATCCCTGCAAACCTCTACAGAAAGAATCGTGCACCGCTTCTGGCTTGGTCTAACAATTATTAACAAGTCCCTGTGCATTTTCAGTGCTGCCTGAGTATTGGTCTTGGGGCGATCTTTTGCAACTGAGCCAAATTAACTTCCAGCTCAGCTGCTGCTCAAGTGAAAATGCTGCAAAGACAGTATTGTGGTATTTCCACTGGAGCTGCAGGGCTGGCAGTTTCCCATTAGGGGGAACTCCTACCTCAGCCTGGCTCTGCGCCATAGCACTTAGGTATAATTTCCCTGTTCTTTCCAGTAGAGCTGGCAAGGGTGCTGCTGCTTCCACACTGAGTAGCTGTTTTTCCCCCTCACCACAAAACAAACATGGTAGGACAAGGATGAGGGCCGAGCTGTTGGCTGGAGTGCCATGCTTTGCACTCCCCCATTGATCAGTCAAAATATGTGCTGGGCAATTTGTGAGATTTCTCAGCAGTGAGAGACTTGTGCGATGATACAAGTGTGATTCTCAGTATCTGTGGGCAAAGAGTGGCTATGTGGAAATGCCAAATGTACCAGAAGCTGAAGAATGAGGGCCATGGTTCCCAAGCTGTGCACCACAGTGCCCCAGGGTGCCCTAGCCAACTTGGAGGCGCACTGCAGAACATTTTAAATTTTCCGAGGAGAAACAGCGATACTCCACACCCGTTGAACATCACACAAACTACTACCCTATTATCACTGTGTTCCCCTTGAAAATTGAAAATATCCCATCCTGGGCAAATCTGCTGTTTCTGGTAAGCATGGTGCAAGTTTGGGATCTGCAGGGTACCATGAAAACACTACTGAGAATCTAAGGGTGCTGTGAACCAAAAAAATTTGGGAACCTCTGAATGAGGGAAGAGATAAAAAGAAAAAAGCTGAAGAGGATTTTCAGAACAGGAAGGGGTTTTGTTATTTGTCTAGTTCTTTTTCTCTTCATATGACTAAAAGCAGCATCATTTATACAGTCCTCACTTAGCCAGGCTCTGGGTATCATCATGGGTACATCCCCTAACCCAATTGCCCATAATCTCAGGAACTTAGGTAAAACAGCTAAAATTGCTTAATTTTAATTTATCTAGAGGAGCATCCTGATGCCTGTTGGGACTGCACTGCTGACCTTCAAAACAAGGGGGAAAACTTAGCTCTAAGCTCAAAATTTGAGACATCTTGTCACAGAATATGAATTAAATGTATACGTGCACAATATGCATTTGTCCTATATACAAACTATTCCTAGCAAACACAGGGATGACCCAGAAGCATCTTACAGTATATGTGAAAAGATTCAGTTAATACGGAGACTGAGCTGTTCCCGCCCTCATGAAGTCACATCTCTTTTTTGCATTGCAAGGGACACTCACTTTGGATAGTTATTGCAGTACTGAGTATAGATGTTAAAGTCTTGGCTCTGTTGGGAAAAGAAAGGAAAGATCAGTAAAATATGTTCAATTCATCCCATTCCCTGATGTCAACCATTCAGCAAAAGCCTCTGCCAGGTATCCAGCACAGATGCAAACACCAACCTCACTGGGTACATTTTGGGGCTAACCCTTGTTCTCTTTGATGCAGAGCTGGGCAATTTTTTTTAGCCCCCAGGCTGCAACTTGTCCTCTTGATCACCCAGCAGAGCAGAGTGTTCCAACCTGGGTTTTAGTGATTTTAAGGAAGGCTTTTAAGAATGAGAAATGGGGTGTTTCACTTCCCAGAGATCTGGTACTTCTACCCCTATCCTTCTCTTCCTGTTTCTTAGCCAAAAATCATGTTCCTGAAATGGAGCTGTGGTGCCCTCTCTTCCTCAGGGCCTAGGGACTGTCCACTCCTGCTTCAGTGGAAGCAACCCAGTTAAGGGTGACAAAGCATTCACTCAGGGAAGGGCTTGCTGAACCACCCAACTATGAACAATCAGAGATGAGCATAATGCAACATCAGCTCTATCTCCTTACCCTGTGCACAAAACACTGTGCCACAGCAACGGGGTCATTGTGGCAACTATCCAGGTCCTGCAGTAGTTCACTACACAGAAATTGAAAGAGAAAGAATAATTTATTAACCAACTTAAGATAAAAAATTTGCACATTATAGAATCTGAAAACACACACACTCTTTCTTACACACACACACACACACAGAACAAACAGGTACATGCTGGAGACAAACTTCAAAACAACTCTTAATTCACTCCAACTTCCGAATTAAATGCAGAGCAGTAGATCATGCAAAGGATTTGGGCCCGGTACCCACCTGTACAGGGGAAACCTGTTCACCACTGTCAAAGGAACCAAAAACACAAGGCAGATGTTATATAGAAAGAGGGGGGACACACACACACTGTTATATTGAAAGAGGGGACACAATGACCAACTGGTACTCCTGTTTTACTCAACTGTCACCTGTACAGTCATACTTGTTAACACTAATGACTTCAGGATCCCAAGCTGAAAATACTGTATTTCCCCAATGTACTAAGGATCTCACAGACACAAAGTGATGAGGTAATTTCTACCCCAAGGACTTACAAGTTTAAGAAGATAAAACACAGGAGAGGAAGTAGATTTGCAAAATTGGCAAGGAACTGAAGCAAAAACACTCCGTAGAAAACTGGACTTAACCTGCCCTTGCTCCTTCCATTTCTTATAGCTTACTCACACAAAGAGGACTGTTATTTCTCTGTTCTAGGAGTTTCAAGCCAATCATGCAGGAGGATGCTGTTTGCTGCTAAACCACTCTCTTAGTCCTAGTAAGGCTACTGAATCCACATTAGAGGTCTGGTTCACACATAATACCAAGCCTTAACATGCTTTGTTTTCAGTTTCACCATTATACACAAACCAGGCCACTATGGCTTATTCAACAAACCATGGCTACAAAAATTCTGTTGTAGCATAATATACAAACCAAACCAATGTTTTGAAAACTGATTCCTGGGGGGTGGGGGTGCTATAAGCTAAGGTAAAAGGGGGCATCATCTCTCCTTTGCATGGATTTATCAGACTGGTATTGTGTGTACTCTCCAACCTTTTAGCCAGGATCCATTTAATATCACAACAGCCCAATTGCCCAGAAATCTTAAGGTTGTGATAAGGATATATGGGAGAAGGCAATCTTTCAGGTAATCTGGTCCCAAGAGATGTAAGGCTTTAAAGTCAATTCATACTGGGAATAAAACATATTTTTAAAAATCATAATAAAACAACTTATAGCTATGTGGACAAAGAAAAAATTGGGACTAGGACATGTCAGCATGCTCATTATCAAACACTGGTTTTAGGGTGCCCTTGTGTTTCTTGGTTAGCCAGAAGGGGAAGCCATTTTCCTTCCTTGGTCCTTGCTCTTTTAAATGAGGAAAATAAGTCAGTGGCAGCAAGTACTAGCTGAAGGCAATAACTGTTGCATCACCCCAGGCTGTCTTAGCTGGCTGGGTTGAAGTGGTGGTAGAGAACTTCACAGGGATAATTTAGAGAAGCTTCTTCCTACCATGCTTTATTTTTCAGAGAGCACCAAACCTGTAAAGGGGGACTGTGTAAAGTGAGCAGCAATTGAAATTACAATGAAGCTCTAAGATGCATGTGTTATACTCACCTATTCAGCTCATAGATGTCTTCAATGTTCCCAAAGAGTGCGCTGACTTGTTCTGGCCGCAACAACAGCTCCTGAGTGTCTATGATCTTCCCCAAGTAATTCTGCCAAGTCACATTATGCCATGAGCATAACCATGTAGCCAGTAAGCAAGAAAACAGGGCAGACCATCATCATGAGCTCTAACCACCAAAATGTGGGAATTGTGGGAATGGTACCCTAATCAATGCCCTGAGGAGACAACATATCTTCCATTGACCATAGCTCCCATTGGACACTCTTTGGTGCTTGCACCCTACCCAAACAATATCCATCAAAAAGCCATTTCCTTTTTACTTGGCATCCCCAGCAGATTAGCACCAAAATCACTGGGACAACTGCCAAATCATATGGATTCTCTGCATCACTTTCACATAATCTGACATGACAAGCAAAAGGTCTTCCATGAATCTGTGTGGAAAAATTGCCAGCCCACTCTTGTGTGGAAAAGGGGCAGTGAAATTCCTGGCTGAGAGGAAGGTATAAAGGCACTACCCAGAAACACAGTGAGAGCCCCTTCAAAATGAAAGCTGCTTGAAGGTCTACAGCTCTTCCCAACTTCCAGTCTAGACCACCAGGTTCCCCCTCGGATAGAGGAAGACTTCAGTGGCACAACTGGATGATGGGAAGACCTTATGACATTTACAGAGTAGCACTGAAGTGATGTATTCAGCCTGACAGGCATGCCAGCCACACTAACCTCTATGATGCTTCGTAAATCCTGCACATACATGCGTTCTGATTCCACAATCTCCAAGACAACACACTCCAGATAGCTTAGTTTGGAATGAGAGGCAGCAGAAGAAAGGGAAGGACTCCTTAGGCCTCTCCAGGCCACCGAGGAGGCATTGTTGTTGGCGTTGTTCAGCACTCCAGTCTTCAGGAGGGGAGAAGCATCAGCAGGTGTTTCTGCCATGTTATTCCAGTCATCCAAAATATGGGAAGCATTGATTAAAGTTGCAGGCAACTGCCTCATTGAATATTCTGAGACGCTCATGCTTGGGGCGCTAGAGATTGGGACTCTCTCATCTTTGCCAGGATATGGAGTAACCAAGAAACCGGAGTTTTCTGAGGAAAGAAAAAGCTTATTTAAAAACCATGTAATGTTCATCTGAATTGTTCAAGGTGTAAGAGATATATAACTAGGGAGACATTTTCATTTTCTTGCAGTCAATGTGCTTTGGTGACCTCTAGGTTGGAGTTCTCCATCTATATTGGAGGCAACAGTAAACA